ATTGTAAGGGTCCCCAGGGCTCTCCTCGGGTCTTTTTTCTTGTCTCAATGAATTTTTAGTGGTTGTATTACGTTCCATAGGTTCAATTGTTATCTCCATACTCCCATTTCTTCATATACAGTCCTAGCTTCTCCTTCTAGTCCCTGTGTCAATTGTCTGTGGCACAGCTACGCCTGGAAATTCCATCACAGGTTCTCAAATTCCACAAACATGGCCCAGGCAGAATTCACTGTTGTTCAGCCTTCCTCCCCTCTTCCACCCCAACCTCGCCTCATTTCTCCATTTGTGTGCAGGACACCATCATCCTTTCAGGCACCCAAATGACAACTTTTGGGTCATATGTGACCTTTCCCTCTCCCCCAATCTGTCACCCCTGTCACCCGTGATCTAATTGGTTGCCAATTCTTGTCAATTCTACCTTCACAAGAACTCTCAGATATGTCCTATTTACTCCACAGGCAGCTAGGTGGCATGGTGGATAGACCACTGGGCCAAGAGTCAGGAAGATCTGCATTCAAATCCAACCTCAGACACTCTCTAGTTGTTTAAACTCTGTTTGCCCCCCCCATCATTTTCTCAGATGTAAAATGTGGAGCTACCTCCAAGGGTTGCATTGAGGATAAAGTGAGATAGCATTTGTAAAGCTTTAATACAGTACTTGGCACATAGTAGGTGCTTAATGAATTCCATTTTGACACTCACCATCCTAGTTCAGGCCCTTATCACCTTCCACCTGGACCAGTGTGGAAGGCACCTAATGGATCTCCCAACTTCCAGCCTTTCCTGTCTGCAATCTACGCACAGATTCCAAAATCATTCTTTGCTAAGGAAGTTTCAGAGATGCCTTATCATCTATAAATCAAAATACAAACTACTCTATTTGGCTTTAGATTGCTAAGGATGACTGACAGTATGTGGGAATACAAGATCCTGCTATATTTATCACTGTTACTGCTGTTGTTAAAAGCATTTGATTCAGCATGGCAAAATGCCACCTTAAAGGCTCCCTTCCAACAAGCAAAGGGAAGGAGAGGGAAGTAAGCATTTATTAAGTACCTACTTTGTGCTGGGCACTATGCTCAGCATTTTATGAATAGTATCTCATTGTGATTCCCACAACAGCCCTTCAAGGAACGCACATGAGGAAACTGGGGCAGGCTGAGAAGTGACTGTCCCAGGGTCACACAGCAAGTCAATGTCTGAGGCCAGATTTAAATTGATGTCTTCCTTACCCTAGGACTAGCACTAAGGTATACTTAATGTTGAGTAACAAACATACAGATCCTGAATAAATACAGTGACAGAGATCATTGCATTTAACCACATTCTTATTATTGTCACCAAGTGAACCACGGAGAATTAGCTGCTTAGAACATAGAGGGGTGAAGTGATTCACTCAGGGTCACCCAACCTGCATGTGTCCAAGGTAAGACTTGGACTTGGACTCAGATTTGAAGCTAGTGTTCTAGCCACTACAACCACACTGACTCTTAATAATAATAGACCTCACATTTTGAAAGTGCTTCCTTCAAAACCACCCTGCAGTTTGTGAGAGTAGGGAGGTAATGAGATAGTGAAAGACTCATCATCCTCATTTTGCAGATGAGGAAACTGATGCTCAGTGACTCACTCAGGATAAAACTATGAGGTGGCACTTGAGACAGGGTTTGAACCTGGGTGTCTCTGGCTCCATCTGGGTTTGGTGCTCTTTCTGCTAGGCTGTCCTACCTCTCTTGGACAAGTATTGCAGATGGAAAGCAAGCTGGGTCCAGACTTGCCCAAGAGGGAGAAAGAAGCCTGGATTGTCTTGGAGAGATGGGGCTGTGCCCTCTACCATCTTCAGCTGCAGCTCCATGAAACAAAAATTTGCATACCATTAGGCTTCTGAGCAGCTAGGTGGGACAGTGCATAGAGTGCCAGGCCTGGAGTCAAGAAGACTCATCCTACTGAGTTCAAATCTGGCCTCAAGCACATACTAGCTGTGTGACCATGGGCACGTCACTTAACCTTGTTTGCCTCCATTTCCTCATCTGTAAAATGAGCTGGGGATGGAAATGGCAAACCACTGCAGCATCTTTGCCAAGAAAACCCCAAATAGGGTCACTACTAGTCAGATCTGACTGAAACAACTGAACAACAACAGTGAGGCTTCTGGGGATATGACAAGGCTAGGGACCATGGAACCATCAGTGAGGGGCATATAAGGAGGCTGTGCCATATTACCAATGAGGGCTTGCTCCCTAGAAATTATAGAGTCATCTGAGAGATGTAGAGTAAAAAAGGGTGGTATATCTGTCCTGGGACAAGCTTGAAGGAGACCAGGTGGACAGCCTGCCCAGGGCCAGATGGTGCCCACAGGATGGGATAGCACTTTGGTGAAAGAAGGCCTTTGGTGCACTGGACAGATTCTCTGGGGGAATGGCATTGGTAAGAATCCCACAGGATCAGAAGGCGTGAGAGAGGTTGCCAACCAAGGAGATCACAAACCCATCAAAATATAGAACTGTTGATCCCTGGCCCTTCCTTGCCACTGCCCCTCTCCTTAAGCCTAACTCCAGTCCTAAGCATTGCTTCACACTCAACTTAAACCCTAATTCAAGCCAAGTTGAGGGTAAATTTCATGTCACACCATACCCAATCAATGGAAAGATCTTGGCAATTACACTACTAAAGTGGAAGGCAAAGCAGTTGGATAATCCAGGATTGACCCACTATGACCTTGAGCAAGTCATTTCACATCTCTGAGCCTCAGTTTCCTCATCTGTAAAATGGGGGGATTGGAACAATGACCTCAAGCTCTAGTTCTATGTCTTCACAAAATTACTCAGGTAAGTTCCTTCTTTCCATTCACGCAGCCACCCCTTTATTCAAATTCTCCTTACCTTTCACCTGGACTATTACAATAGCCTCCTATTTGGTCCTCCCATCACCTCCACACAACTAAAGTGATTCTCCTGAAGTGAAGCTCTGACCATAACCTTCCTCCTGCCCCTGCTCAATAAACTTCAATGGTTCCCAATGGCCCTTAGGCTCAAATACAACCTTCTTCGTTCAGGATTTAAAGCCTATCACAACTTGGTCATGATATACCTTTCCAGCATCATTATACATTGCTCCATACTCTCACTCTTCAGCCCAGTCAAATTTGCCTTTTCTCTGTTCTGCTCACATTACGCTCCATTTCTTTTCTCCACGCCTTTATGATGCCCCTACTCCATGCCTGGAATGTACTCCTTCCTCACTTCTGCCCTTAGAATCCCTTGTTACCTACTAAGCACCACCCCCTACACGAAGCCATTCCTGATGCCTCCCTCAACCAGCTGCCAGTGCCTTTCCCTTAAAATTGCCTTGTATTTACTCTGCCTGTGTGTACGTGGTGTCTATCCCCATAGAATGAAAGTGCCTTGAGGGCAGGAAGTGCATCACTTTTGTCTTTGATTCCCAGAATTTAGCACAGTGTCGTTCCGTCGTTCCCCCCCCCCCCGTGGTTGGATTAAAACGCGGGGGCTTAAGAAATGATCAATTATGGCTTGGTTGCAGAAGCCCAGAATGTGATGCTGGAATTTACAAAGGAAGAAGGATACAGACATGGTGCCTCCCCTCAGAGAGCTCACAGACCAGTAGTTCCAACCTCAGTCTGAAAATGAATCTAGTCCCTAATGTATCTAATTCAATAAAATTCTGCACATGTGGAATGGACTCCTCACTGCTCAGCCCCAGGGAAGATGTGGTGGCAAATAAGACCCACACTTAAACAGGCATCTCTCTTCCTGATCATTTGAGTGCCATCCCTGCCCTGGACCTGTCTTCTCTCACAAGTTCAGTGTAACAGGGCTGGAGATCAGAGGACCTGTGTTCACTCCCATCACTGCCATTTATGACCCATATAATCTCTAGAAAGTGATTCTCCCCTCTCCCTCCCCACTCCACCATTATTCTAATTCCTCATCTGCAAAGTGAAAGGAACTGATGACCTTTTAAGTCCATCCCAGCTCTAAATCTGTGATCCTGCCTATATCAGATTGTGTGCCATCTTGGGGGGGGGGGAAGGGGAGAAAAATTTTCAACTCAAAAGCATATGGAAGTGATTGTTGATAAATCAAAATAAATTAATAAAATAAAAAAAATGAAGTTAAAAAAATAAATAAATAATAAATCTGTGATCCTAAGATTCATTCTTCTCTCAGACAGTCCCTGATCCCCTGCTATCTGAGGGTCTCTGTGAGCCAAATTTAAACTTTTATACCTGGACTTAAAGAAAAAATCAATGTCACAAGTCTGGAATGGGGGAGGCATGGCTAGGCAGCAGGGAGCCCTAGGTCTGAGGGGTTGTGGGAGAGATCAAACACAGGCCAGAGATGTGAATGAGAAATGTTTATAGAATCTAGAAGGAATCAATTCACAAGTAACATGGCAGACAGTAGCAGAGGACTAGGTTGAGAGATGAGGGAGAGGGTAGAGAAGGGTGACAAGAGACACAAGGGGGAGGTCTAGATATGGGAGAAGCCATGACATGCTTGAAAATGAGAGACAGTGAGTTCCCCATCACTGGAGGTATTTAAGTAGATGGTGAATAATGCTTTGTCTCGAAGGGAAGATGTAGCAGGGTCTCTTACTTGGAGAAGGTGGGTTGACTGAATGACCTCTAAGCACCCTCCCAAGCTCCAGATTTCAGTGACCCACTCCACTCTGCATATGTTAGCTCACTTTCCACCATTTTTTCTTCCACTTCAGCTTGTTTTATATTCCTAATATGTTCATCTCTCACTTCTTTAAAAAGATTCTCCTCCATGGATTTTTTTCCTAAACTGCTCATTATGGGTTTTTTTTAAATTCTGCATTGATGGAACAATGTGGCACAAGACAAAGAAAACACTATTTTTGGGGTCAAAGGACCCACATTTGGATCCCTCATCTACCAAGAATTTACAACCTGTGTGACCTTGGACAAGTCACTTCATCTCTATTGGCCCCAAATGAGTGTGTTGGATTAAATGACCTCTACGATTCCTTTATGTTCTAGATCTATGACCCTGATGAGAAACAGCAGACAGAGAGAGAACAGGGAACCTGATCCCAGCAGGAGAGGGACAAGTTGGACTAGAGAAAAGGCTTTTTAACCTTCGGTGTCAACAGCATTCTTGCTCCTGGAGTCCTCAGATCAGCAGATTTGACTTCTCCAGATAACTCAGAGGGACAGAATTCTGGGTGGGGCCACTCCAGGCTAGGGGGTAGAGGAGTGAGGGGACCCAAGAGACTAGTCCTTGGGCTAGGATTTCTCCAGAGGATTAACGGCCCAAGGATCAGCTTTCTCAGGAAGAACCAGAGGACCAGGGCTGCTCATCTGATCTGGGGATTAAACTCCATCTCTGTGAGAGTTGGGGCTCAGGGTAAAGAAAGACAAAACACTAAAGGGAGCCATGGGTGGGGGAGGAGAACAGGACAAGAAGAGAAGAAGGAAGCATCCCTCCCAGCCTGACGTTACTGAAGAGATCGCTCAGTAGAGTCAGGAGACCTCCCACCCCAGGCTCTGCTGGGGAATCGCCGTGTGACCTTATGCAAATCTCTCCTCCCCCTCTCTGGGTTTATTCCTCGGGCTATGAAATTAGGCAATTGGATTTAATCATCTCTAAGCTCTAGTCCATTTCTAAATCCTGTGATCCTATAATGCTATGACCCTCTGATCCCACCAGGGCAGGGTGAGAAGGGTCCCTGCCCCAGCTCTCCCCATGCTGCCCCCCCCAGGATTTCCAAGCATCTCCGGGAGAAGAACAAGGTGGGGGCAGGACAGGGCTGGGGATGCCTCTTCAGCGGGACATCATCTTCACAAACTCTGCGAAGGAAAGGAAAAGACCAGTGAATGCCTATGCTTCCCAGTCCCTGTCCCGATCTCCCCACCCCAACCAGTTCTTCAGATTTTCCTAGACTCCCATCCCCACAGAATACACCCTTCCATCCCAGCTGCTGGAGAACTCCCTGACCCTCTCTTGTCCTATTTCCCAGCTGTGAAAAGGACTGGTTAGAGTTGGTGATGATTTCTAAGAAGTCCATCCCCTCTGTGCTACCCAAGTTCTTGTTCTCCTCACCTGGGGCCAGTCCCTTCCCCTCTCTGGGATTCAGATTGTCCCCTATTCAAATGGAGAAGGTGGGGATGGACTTGGGGATCTCTAAGCATCTTATAGCTCCCAGAAACCTAAGCATGCAGAAACTGAACTGAGGCCTATAGCGAGGGGGCCAGCCCTGATTGGAGGGGCCTTATGTCACCTTCAAAATCCACTGTGCCATCTCCATTGACATCAGCCTCCTGCACGACCTCAGAAATTTCTTGGGCACTGAGCTGCTCCCCCAGCAGCCTTTGCATAGCCTGGCGAAGTTCCACCAGGGTAATTGAGCCATCTCCATTGGCATCAAACTGCCCCAGCCATAGCCCGGCAACAAAGAAGGAAATCCAACGAGAGCATCAGGATTAATCTGGGAAGACTTCTTGGTGGGGCAGGCAGAGGGGAAGAGGCTCTGGGGCCTGGGGGAGGGGGCCTTCCTTGTGCACTCCTCCCTACCCATAATCCAGCTGAGAGTTCTGAGGTGGGAGAGGATAGCTTCCTTCAGCCTCCTCAAGTATCTCCCTCTCCCTCCCCCTCCTCTCTTTCTCCTCTTCCTCTTTCTCCTCCTCTCCCCTCCTCTCCTCTCCTCTCTCTGTCTCTCTCTCTCTCTCTTTCCTTCTCCCTCCCCCCCTCCCTCTCTCTCTCAGTTTTCCTGTCTGTTAAATGGCCAAAGTGGGCTCCCTGATCTCTAAATACCCCTTTTGCCCTGCAAAGGGGTTCCAGGGTGACCCCGGCCTCCCTCACCACCCCTGCACCTTACCCGTGATGCTTAGTGACTATGACCCTGCAGACTACCAAGATTCAACGAGCTCATTGATCTTCCAGGCCAAATGACTCCTTTCAGGAAAGATCAAGGCCCAGAAAGCGTGACAGAGGGCACCCCTCCAGGAGTCAGCAGTCCAGCAGCCCTCCCTCTCCATGCTCACCTCCTTGAAGGCATCACGCATCTCCTGCACTCCGATCATCCCAGCTGTCTCTGCCAGCAGCTTGGGTGCCATTAGCTCTACAAAGTCCTCAAAATCCACCTTGCCACCGACTAGGGATGGGAGAAGTTAAGAACAAGGAGAGGAAAAGACAAGGACTGAATCTGAGATCCAGATCCCTAGACTCCCCCCCTTCCCACATGCCCTGGGGCGAGTCAGGGGACCCCTTCTTTCCGCTACCCCAGCCAAGAGCTTCTGCTCAGGCTCCTCAAAGAGTATACCCCACCTAGCACCCACAACACCAACCCTGGCTTGGCTCTTGACCTGCATCTTTGATCACTCAGTCAATTAACAAGTATTTAATAATTGTCTAATACATGCCAGACACTTTGCTAGGCACAGGAGAGACAAAGATAATAACAAAATAGTCTCTGTCCTCAAAAAGCTTACATTCTATAGGGAGAAACTTTGTGTGCACACATATAAACAAATGGAAAATGTTCACAAAATAAATATAAAGTGATTTCTGGGGACACAAAGAACTAGGGAAATCAAGGAAGGCCTCATGTAGAAGGCAGAACTTGGGCTGAGCTTTGAAGGAAGCTGGAGATATACAGAACCATTCATGAAAAGGTCCACCATTTCAGGCCTGAGGGACATCTCGTGCGAAGACACGGGGATGGAAAACAGGATGTGATGCATGCGATACAGCAAGCAGGCGGCCCTCCAGCCATTTCTGGACCATAGCAGATCTCCAGCCCCGTCATCTCCTCCACTCTCCTCATACTCTCTCCTCCCCATCACCTCCCCAAGTCTATCTCCTTCATTCTGAAGCATGCTAGTAGAATAGAATGAGTGCTGACCCTAGGGTCAGAGGACCTGAGTTCAAATACTACCTCTGACACTACTTTGTGACCTTGGAGAAATCACTTAGCCTCCTGTGCTTCCCATTCTTCATAAGTAAAATGAAGTGGGAGGCCTCAGGTCCTTTCCTATTCTATATTCCTGTTCCCATAATCCCCCTAATCCTGACCCCGACATCAAATTCCCAATCCCAACATTTCTACTTCATCATCTCCTCAGCCCCATCTTCTCCTCAACCTCGCCTCCTGATCTCTTTGGTCACAGCATCTCCCAAAGTCCACACCCTTCGTCTTCAATCCCCAGCACGTCCTCACCCAATCATCTGCTCAGCCCCAAAACACAGAGGAAGATCTTCCTGTGCTAACTACCTCCTCAGCCTCAGCCCAAACTTCTCCCCATACTCACCATTTCCCCCAGCCCTAGCCTATCATCTCTCCAGCCCCACCACTGAACCCAACACATTTCCCAGTAGCTTTCTCACATCTCTATCACAACCCAGTCCCCTTAATCACCATTCCCCACTTCCTTCTCAACTCAATCTCTATTTCTCTTCTCATTGCCTTCCTTAATCCTGCCTCCAGATCCAAGCCCAACGTCTTCCTTGTACCATTGACTTGACTCATTCACTTACTTCCTTGACCTATTGACCTCTCTTCCTCAAGTCACAGAAAGAAACCTTCACTCCAATTCAAAAAGCCTGGGTTTGAATCTCAGCTCTTCCATTCCACATTATGTGCCCCTGGGTAAACCACTTCTCTCACAGAATCTGTTTCCCTGTCTGTCAAATGGTGAAAACCATACTTGCATTGCCTACTGATAGGAAAACACTTTGAAAACCTTGAGAGCTGTAGAAACGTAAGGTGTTAGCATCATCATTCTGTCTTTAGCCCTCCCCATCTTCCCCTGCCACACCCCAACCCTCACGGTTCATTCGGATCTGCTGTCCCAGCTCTGCCAGCTCCATCTCAGTGGGCATGTAGCCCATGGTCCTCATCAGGTTCCCCAGGTCCTTGCAGGAGATGAAACCATCTCGATCCTTGTCAAACTCATGGAAGGCTTCCCGAAGCTCTAGGAAAAAGGCAGGGAAGCAGGAAGGGGATTATGAGGAGCCTGTAAACCACCAAAGTGTGGGAAAGCTAGATCCCCTCCTGGGAAAGCCTCTGGGAACAGGACTTGGCCTCTGAAAGAGGCCTTGCTGAAAACTAGCCAGGGGTGAGCAAGGGTGGGATTCCTGGAACCAATGGAAGAATGTTGGGAATTCCTGACACTGCCATGGAGAGATGGATGGGGGTAAACAGGGACGGAAAATTGCTGAAATTGGAGGCCTTGAAATCGCTGGGGAAATAGATGGGTAGATCTCAAAACCATCAATGAAGAAATAAGTAGGAACTTGAAAGTACCAGGAGAGATTGAGTTTGGGGACACTAGGGGTAGAGATTGCTATCACAAGAATTAGTTTCCTTGAGGGCACTGTTAGAGTAGGAGTGAGGAGGATATGGCAGTAGAATAGGGTCTGGTGGAACTGCCTCAGAGGGTCTGCAGGGGAGGGAGGAGGAGGAGGAGGAGGTTACCTTCAATCTCATCGGGTCCTAGTGGACGATCCTGAAGAAGGTACAAGAGGAAAGAATGATGGGGAGAGGCAGGGACAAGAGTGGCCCTCTTCAGGATTACTCAGTGACCCTCAGGGCTCTCTCCAGGGTCCTGAAAGAGGGAGCTGGCGGCCATTCATACAGTCTCATACCCTCTTTCCTGGCTGCCCCTGGCAACCCCTCTCTCTGCGCTCATTCAGCCTCTGCCCCACCCCCGACTGCTCTTTCCTATTCCTTCCTTGACAATCTCTTCCTTCTCTCCCCTTCCATTTCCTTTCTCTTCCTTCACCTGGATGAGAATTTCTCCCCAACATCCCATCCACCTACTTTCTTCTTTCACCTCCTTCCTTCAACTTTCTTCTTCCTCCTCCTGCTTCTTCTAACCTTCCAGCTCCTTCTAGCTGCTTTCTCCTCCTTCCTCTGTTCTCTTCCTCATGCTTTCTTAAACTTTACTTCTCTTCTAGCCTTTCCTCTTGTCTACCTCCTTCTTTCTCCTTTCTCTTCTTGAGTTCTTCCATCCCCTTCCAGCATGAAACAGGGGCAAGATCCGGGGACCTGAGACCAAATCTCACCTCTCTTACCCACCACCTATAAGACCCCAGCCAAGTTTTTTTTCCATTAATAATATTGAGCATGTATATAGTGCTTTAGGATTTGCAAAGCTCTTTACAAATATTTCATTTTATCTAGCTAAGCCTCAGTTTCTTCATCTATAAAATGAAGGGGCTAGATGAGATGGCCTTGGAGGTGCCTTCCATTTCCAAATCTATATGCCATCCCCTTCTATCTTCTCTCCCTTCCCTCCTTCTTCTTTCCCCATCCATTCCTCACCCTCTGCTTCTCCGCAATCCCTTTCCTCAGGAAGATGCAAGCTGGTCCCATGGGGAACTGCATGGGGCCTAAGAGGGAGCAGGATCCAGGATCTTGTGGAGGCCCCACAGCTCACAACCCTCTTCTTGCCTCTTTATGGTTCCCTATCTCTCTCTTGCGTTTTTCCCCCCTTGAGTTTCTGGATATCCTCTTTGCTGTCTGTCTGCTTTGTCTTCTGGTGGGTCAATCTGTCTGTTTCTGTATATCTCTCACTCTTTCTCTGTTCCTCTTTATCTCTTTTCTCTCAGTCTGTTCTATCTCTGTCTCTGCTTCTGTCTCTGTTCAGTCTTAGTCTCTGAATCCAGTGGGTGACAGCTGGGACCCAGTTTCTCCTGGCGTGGGAGAGGGGGGAGAAGGGTGACAGCTGGGACCCAGGCTCCCCTGGGGCCTGGGGGAGGAGGAGAGAGACAGGTGGGCCTGGCCTCTCCATCTGCTTCAAGGCAGGAAGTCATCCCAGTTTGGCTCATCCCCAGAACAGATTTGTGGCAGGGAATTCCTGGGCAGAGCGATTATGACTTGGCATGAGGGACACCGTAAGTGAAGAGCCAGGGGCATGGCCTCATCAAATCATCCTAAGAAGGTCATGGGCTGACTTTGTATAGCTTCAGTTTTCCTGCCTATACAATATGACCTCATTGACCAGATATCCTATGGCATGGGCATCTTAGACCTCTTCAGGGGCAGTTGTTGCGATAGACAGATAGACACAGTGAGCCAGATGTTCCATCCAGAAATAGAGATGCTGATATTGGTCCTTTTCTCCCTATTGGTCCATTTGTCACTCTATTTCCTCTATTTCTTTGCATCTCTATATTTGTCTGTCACTTCTGGTTCTCTCTGTTTCTTTGCCTCTTTGGTATCTTTGTCCCTGTCTCCTGTAAGGATCTCTCTCTCTGTCTCTCTCTGTCTCTGTCTCTCTGTCTGTCTGTCCGTCTCTCTCTCTCCCCCCTCTCCCCTCTCCATCTCTCTCTCTCCCTCTCCCCCCATGATTCCTTGTTTATCTATCTGAACCTCAGTTTCTTCATCTATAAAATTAAGGGACTAGACTAGATGGCTAGAGTCCCCAGTGCCTTCACACAGGCTGTCTCCCATATTTGTACTCCCCCACACACACTTCCTAAGACTTCCAAGACTCAGATAAAGCATCATATTCATTTCTAAAATTTTATTGATAACTTTTGTTTCTATATGACCCACATTTCTTACTTGATCCCCCAGCAGAAAGCCATCTCTTTTATGATAAAGAATTTTTAAAAGAGGAAGAGGGAAATTTTTGTAAAACCAAGTAACATGGAAGCTGCTGGTAGCTCAGTGCAAAGGGCTCTGGGACTGGACTCAGGAAGACCTGAGTTCAAATGCACACTTGGATACTTACTAGCTACGTGACCTTAAGCAAATCACTTAACCTGTTGCCTCAGTTTACTTATCTGTGAAATGGAGATAACAGTACCTGCCTCCCAGGGTTGTTGTGAGAATCAAATACAGTAATATTTGTAAAAGCATTTGATACAGTGCCTGGAACATGGTAGGGGTTACATAAATGTTTCTTTTTTCCCTTTCTCCTTCTCCAACATATCAAAAATGTCTGACACAACAAGGTGGGATCTAAGTCAAGAAGCGTTTCTTCATCAAGTACAATGTGTTGGGCGCTGTGCTAAGCACTGGGAACACAATAAAAAGTCCCCCAAAATCCCTCTGCTTTCAGGGAGCCCCCTGGGGGTGCAATATGCAAGCAATTATGTAGAAACAGGATACGTACAGAAGAAATCAAAGATGATCAAGACAGAGAAAGCATTGAGGTTAAGTAGGACCAAAAAAGGTTTCCTGTAGAATGTGGGACTTCAGCTGAGACTTGAAGAAGGTCAGGAAAGCCAGGAGGCAGAGATGGGGAGAGGGTTCCACCTCCAAAGTCCTCCATCTCTGACAAGAAGTGCCTTCTCATATTTCTTCTTTTAGGGATAAGTTTATCAGAATTTTTCAAGATTCAGTTTCAACTGCTTTGCTGACATTGTTCTTTCCATTGAGATTGTTGTATATTGCCTCCCTGATTCTACTGACTTGTTGCATCCATTCACACAAGTCTTTCCATGCACCTCTCTGTTCATCAGTCATCATTTCTCATAGCACAGTAATACTGCATTGCATTCCTCAGCCAGTTTACTAGCCATTTCCCAACCCATTGTCATCGACTTTGTTTCCAATTCTTTGCTACCACAAAAAGTCAATCACCACCTAAGAGAAGCCTCAATTGACTCTCCAACTGCTAGTTCTCTCCCCCCCTAAACTATCTTGCATTGATTTTGGACTTGTTCAGTATATATACACTTCCAGATGTAGATGCTGTCTCCCTCACAGAACGTATACTCCTTGCAGGCAGGAATTATTTCACTCTTCTCTTCGTATTCCCAGCATGCAGCACAGTGCCTCACACACAGACGGTGTTTAATAAGTACACGATGTATTGCTTGACTGATTTAGCTCTGTTTCCTCAGGCTGTTCTGTCTTCTTGCATCACTTTGTCTCTTTTGACTCTTTTAGGCTATGTCTGGATTTTTTACACGTTTCATTTTGTAATTCCCTATATCCTCATTTCCTTGTCCCTCTCTGTATCTTGCTGTCTCCTCTAGCTTTTGTGTCTTTCTCTCCTGGGACTCTGAGTTTGGAAGGCACAAGGTGAAGAGGGAAGAACTTGTAATACTGGTGTTTGGGAGTGCGGGCTAGCCTTGTCACTCAGGACTGCACAGAGAATCATAAGGTTTGGATCTTATGGGAGCCAAGACAGCAGTGGCAGCTAGCCCTGACCTTAGCAGGGACCAGTTCTAACCACTTAACTGGGTCAGAGGAGCCGATACGAGGGTATTTCAATGACCAGCCCTTGGAGTAAAAGCCAGCAGCTGTATGAGGATGGGAGTAAGGCCCTTGACCTAGCTCCATCCCCTGCTGCCTGAGACAGCTCCTTTCTGTTCAGTAGGACTTGGTTTCCTCCATCATGTATGGATGCTAACACTTTTCTGGGCCTAGAAGGTTCTCCTTGCTTCCCCTGCCCACAATTTCTGTGTATAGCTGGTTTGTACATTGGTGTTAGCATAGTTTCCCGCATGAGATTTCAAGGTCCTTGAAAGCACGGACTACCTTTCGCCTGTCTTCATATCCCCAGTGCTTACTAGAGCCAAAGAAGAGTAATGAACTAGGAGACATATTTGTTGATCAGTAGAGAGGATGTTTATCACTAATTACAAGAGAAGGAAAGTGTCCTTGTTAGCAATGCCATTCCCACTAATTCAAAGAGAACAACACCTCATTTATCAGTTAAGATAAAGAGAAGCCAATTAGTTCAACTCTCAAAGTCCTCTGAGTCCTCCAATTCAGTCACCCAGTAATTAGAGGAAGGGAAATATCAAAGAAGACAGCTTGCTTTAAGCTGCCCCTGCAGCACAGGCTAAGGCTTCACTTAGCAACAAGGGGCAAATGTAGGATGAAATGGAGTCAGATATGTCAGCTCTCAACACGCAGCTTTAAGCTCCCCCAAATCCACTCTAGCGCTGCACTAAGCACCAGAGATAGAAAAGCCAGCCGACTCTGCCCTCACTGCGCTCACAGCCCACCGTGGGGAGACAGCATATGTGAGCATTTCAGCTCCAAGTCAGACAGAAGGCCTCTGTGGTCCTCGGTGTATGATGGCCAATCAAACAGTAGTGCATCTCCTCTAACGTCACTTCCATTAAATAAATCATACTGGTTTGACACAGGGTCGAGGACTTTGGTGCTGAGAATTTTTCCACTGAGGAAATGCTTCTTACTCTTTTATTCACTCGTTCCCTAACAATCTTGGCTGCCAGACCCATATCAGAGATGAGTGATGCAAAGTTTTGGTTTTGGTTTTGGTTTTGGTTTTGCCAGTTGGTTACTTCCATTCTTCATGTAAACAAAATAATTTATTTTATTTGGGGAGATCATCACACCCCTCGTTTGGTTAAGAAATCTTTGGGATTGGAAAGACAGATTGGAAGCCCTGGGGGTATAAAATGGGTCTCCTTAGACCAAATTTACCCTCTAATCAGATGGGAGTATCTCAGGAGACTTCCATGGAGTTGGGGGGACCAAGTCCTTTCTGATTCCAGGCCAGCCATCATCTCTCCACCTCACAGGAGATGGAGGTATAAAGGCATAAAGACTCTCATTACATCTTCTCCAAGACAGGTTTACAATGGCAGATTCAATCCATGGCTCTGACCTGATCTGTAATCCTCAAGAGACTACCTCAGGGGACCTGCCATCCCTCTAGGCCCCTTAAGCAGTATGGTTAGGCCAGAAAAGGAGATTCAACTCAAGGAAAGGAAGGCATAAAGGCATAAAGGTCATATCAGTGATCTGTCCTTTCATGGAATTAGACTGTCAATGTTTGAAGGAATTCTGAGGCCACTAATCCATTCTGCACTTAAACAGAAGCCTCTTTCTATCTCCAACAAGCGACCATCCATTCTTTGCTTGAAGACCTCTAGGAAGAGGCCACCTAGCACCTCCCAGGGCAGCTTGTTCAATTTTGATCTAGTTTTAGGAAGTTAGGAAGTCTTCTTCCTTACCTCAGGACAAAATTGGTACTCAGAGATCCAAGGGCAACCTCTCCCCTCCCCTGTGATTGCCTCCTCCTCCTATAATGCAATAGCTAAAAAAACTATCAAACTCAGCATTTGGGGTAAATCTGGGAGATAAAGTGGCCCTGCGGATGAGGGCTGGTAGCAGAGCGGCAGGCCAGGGAAGAGTCTTTGGGGAAGAGTGGGGCTTTCTAACACTGCTAGCACAGTGGATGGCCCATAGCAGGTGCTTGAAACATGCTTGTTGTCTGTTAGCAACAAAGCCTTTCTTCTCTCATTCAAGCTAATCAGTGGGCATGGTTAGTCTGGTTGTCTGGAGTGGGGACATGAATGGGAGGCATTAAGCACCATGGACAGAGACCACTCTTCCAGTTGCCTTAGGACAGCAGAGCAAGAATTCATTCACTCCCAGCTCTGCAGCTGTGCTTCTGATACTCTGAACTTTGCCACCAAGATCGCTGTCTTCTCGTCCTGGAATTCCCGCAGGATCTGAGGCTATTCTCACCCTGCAACATCCCTCATCTCTGGTCCCTTGATTCCCAATGGTGAGTTCTTTCTGGATCCTCATTTTTAGGACAGACTTGGCTCACTGTGCATCATTCCCCTCCTGGCCATGTTCAGTCTA